CTCAGTATTCTTGTAATGGGTCGTGTAAGTATTCGCATTCTTCTTCTTAGTACTAGTAATGATATTCTAAAATGATACCGGAGAAAACCCAATCGTAGTCTGTTTAAGGCTCTAGGGCTATGGGGCTAGAAGGCTATAGGGCTAGAAGGCTATGGGGATATAGGGCTACAGGGCTACAGGGCCATAGGGCTATAGGGCTATGGAGCTATAGGGCTATAGGACTATAGGGCTATAGGACTATAGGGCTATAGGGCCATAGGGCTATAAGGCTATCAGACTATAGGGCTATTGGGGCTATAGGGCTACAGGTCTATAGGGCTATAGGGCTACATAGAGCTACCCGGCACCTGGGCACCCGGGCACCTGGGCACCCAGGCACCTGGGCACACGGGCACCCGGGCACCCGGGCACCCGGGCACCTGGGCACCCAGGCACCCGGGCACCCGGGCACCCGGGCACCACCGGGCACCCAGGCACCCGGGCGTGCGGCGAAAATCAGCGGCAAACCTAACCTAACCATGTGAACCCGCTAGGACCCCTACAGAGGCAAGCTCTGATTGGGGAAATATTATTATTAGTAGTATTCCTCCTCCTCCTCCTCCTCCTCCTCCTCCTCCTCCTCACTCCTCCTCCTCCTCATCACCACCACCACCATCATCATCAGCAGCAGCAGCAGCATCGCCATCATCATCATCATCATCATCATCATCATCATCATCATCATCATCATCATCATCATCATCATCATCAGCATCATCATCATCATCAACATCAGTCTCCTATTCAGCATCATCATCATCATCATCATCATCATCATCATCAGCAGCAGCAGCAGCATCAGCATCAGCATCAGCATCAGCATCATCATCGTCGTCGTCATCATCATCATCATTAGCATCAGCATCAGCATCACCATCATCAGCATCAGCATCATCATCATCAGCATCAGCATCATCATAATCAGCATCAGCCGCATCATCAGCATCATCAGCATCAGTATCATCAGCATCATCAGCATCATAATCAGCATCATCAGCATGCTCATCCACATCCTCATCATCATCCTCATGTTCATCCTCATCATCATCCTCTCCCCCCCCCCCACACACACACACACCTGATCCTTCTGCTCCTCCAACTCCTCCTCCGTTTCCTCCTCCTCCTCCTCCTCAGCCTGCGACTCCTCCTCCGTCGTCTCCTCCTCCTCCTCACCCTCCTCCCTCCTCCTCCTCCTCCTCCTCCTCCCCTCCTCCTCCAGCTCCTCCTCTCCTCCTCCTCCCTCCTCCTCCTACTCCTCCTCCTACACTAATCCCTCTCCTCCTCCTCCTCCCCTCCTCCTCCTCCCACCTCTCCCTCCTCACACTCCTCCTCTCCTCCTCCTCCTCCTCTCCTCCTCCTCTCCTCTCCTCCTCCTCTCACTCCTCATCATCATCATCATCATCATCATCATCATCATCATCATCAAGCAGCATCAGCATCAGCATCAGCACAGCATCACATCAGCATCACATCAATCATCATCATCATCATCATCATCACATCATCATCATCATCATCATCATCATCATCATCATCATCAATCATCATCATCATCATCATCAAAAATCATCATCAATCATCATCATCATCACATCATCATCATCATCCTCCTCCTCCTCCTCCTCCTCCCCTCATCCTCATCCTTCTCTTCCGCCTCTTCCTCCTCCTCCTCCTCATCCTTAGTACTTGTCTTGGTCGCATATTCCTCTCATCTTCTCTCCCCATCCTCCGCCTCCTCCTCGTCTTCCCTTCATCCGCCTCCTCCTCCTCCTCCTCCTCCTCTTCCTCCTCCCTCCTCCAACTCCTCCTCCTTCTCCTCCTCCTCATCATCAACATAACTTCTCCTCCTTTTCCTCCTCCTCCTCCTCCTCCCTCTCCTCCTCCTCCTCCTCCTCCTCCTCCTCCTCCTCCTCCTCCTCCTCCTCCTCATCATCATCATCATTATCATCATCATCATCAACCTCATCCTCATCCTCATCCTCATCCTCTTCCTCCTCCTTCTCCTCCTCCTCCTCCTCCCCCCCTTTTCCCACGCTCCCCCTCCCCCTCCCCCTCACCCTCACCCTCACCCCCTCCTCCTCATCATCATCATCATTATCCTCATCACAGTCTCGAGGTCTACCAGCTGGGCTATCTGTGCCGATGGCGTGGACGGTGCCGTCAGAGACCTCGCTGGCATCAACGACCGAGGCAGCGTCGTGTTTATCAGAGCGCTATGTGGTAGAAAGAGCCACCGCCTTTTTTAATCCGCCGACCCCTTGTGGGTCTCCAGGCGTGTGAGATTGTCTCCCCCCATAATCCCCCCCCCCAGGACCCCAAACCGGGATTTGGACCCCCCCCCCGGCCCGGGACAGCCCCAGACCAAACTCATCCGGGGCGGTCTGGGTTCCCTGGGCTCGCTCCTGAGCTGCACGAATCAGACTGCTTGATCAAGCCTGGAATGGCTGTGGCATTCGACGGACTCGCAATGGCAGCACAGCGTCGGCACTTGTCGAATGGTAAAACCACCACCCTTCCCCCTCCTGCTCTCCCTGGGTCGATTCCCCTTTCCCTTGCAGCCCTCGTCCAGATGCATAGCTCCTCTCCGACACAACACAAGACGTGTCGACTAGGCGGGCAAGGGGTTTCGTTCAAGGCTCAACGTATTTCCCGCAGGCGTGAAGTCCATAGCAGATGCACCGATGATCGGCGCGCCGCTGCCAAAACTGTTGCTCGCGCTCCAAGGCTGCACAACTTCGTCTGAACACCCCTCATCAAGTGCACTGGAGAAGGAGAATCGTTTTCAACATTGAGACCTCGCATGAGAACCTCGCACACACGTCGCCGTAACCGAGGACAGCCAACACCTACACGCAGTGGAGGTTGGCCCGTTTCCAAGATGCAAGTCTGGCCTGAGCGCCCTGCACATTCGGCTGAACCGCGTGCAGCAGCTTCACAGCTGGAGGGAGGCCCCAGTTCAAAACGGGACTCTTGCGTGAAGATTCCTCGGACAGGGCTGGATCCAAACGCTGTGGTTCGCTGCGGTTTCGTGTTGTTGTTCATGCTGCTATACCTGACTTCCTGTACCTCCCTGCCAAAAAAAACGAAACCAAAACACAGCCGGAATCCAGCAACACAGCGTTCAGGTCCGGCCCCGTCCTCGGATGCCATGGCTGAAGGGCAGAGGGGCACGCAACCCTTGCGGGGACGGAGGGCGGCTCCCTGTCCCCATCCCGGCTACGGCCTGACGGGTCCTCCAGGTGTGCGGCCTGAGATGCAAGCGTGACACGGTGAGGGTATGGGAGAAAGAATCGTCGCCGCCGCCCTCGTCAGATAAGGAATGCTCCAGGGTCTGAAGCCTCCTGGGCACATTCCACAACCAACGCCCCCGCCGTAAGCAGTTTCACGGATGCTGGGCAGCTACTGTTCGAACGCATGCCATCGCTTGACACTGCATCGACTTGGTTGGCCCTGCCTCTGGGCACTCTCTATAATGACTACGAGGGCGGAGGGCGATTCCTTGTCAGAACGGGGCTCCCGCCTGATTCGCCCCGTGACGACATGGAGTACTTACAAGTACTTAGCACGGGACTTGGGACGGAAGGATGTGTTACAGCATCGTTGATGTGACCTGGACTTGCTCTGGTACTCGCCCTCCTCAGTATGCTCCTCCTCTGCCGCCTCCTCATCCTCCTCCTCGAAGAGCAGTCAACAGTCGTGTTCAGGTCGGCTCTCCGCCCTCCCCCCCATCGAAAAGCTCAACGAAGTGCTGAAGAGAAGGAGAGGTATGCTCGAGCGTGTGCGGCGCTGCTGCGAACCCAGCGCCTGCCCCGAGCCTGGGAAGCAATGTCTGGGAGCTGCCTCGGCGCACCCCACGGGCCTACCGTCAGGTGAATACTGCTGGTGGTGGAAATGCTGAGCGCATGTCGACACATTAGAAGCGCGTGAGCACGCACACGCACACGCACGCGCACGCGCACGCGCGCGCACGCCCTCTGGATGGGACTCGGGCTCCGGCTCGGTCTCAAACTCGCGCTCGGGCGCGGGGTCGGGGTCGGCCTCGGGCTCGCGCTCGCGCCCGAACATTTTCGCACGCCAACGCGAACATGCGCGCACGAATGCGCGCACGAACATGCGCGCGCACGCTCTCTCGAACGCGCACGAACGCGCACGAACGCGCACGCTCGCGCGCGCGCGCACGCTCACGCACGCGCGCACGCGCACGCGCACGCGGACTGCCCCCCTTTCAGGGCGAGACGCGGCGACAGTGCTGGGCCACCCGTCCCTGGGCCCCGCACTCCCCCCACCCCGACCATAGTTTAAACCTCTGAGCCCTAAACGGTGTGTGTGGCTCCAGCGCACAATTCTTGCAGGGGAGCATGGTTCCAGCAGATCACAGCGCCCCATGTTTGCGAGGGAGGGTGGTTTCAGCAGGTTCTGCCGTCCAACAAAAGGGTGGGCTCCAGCACCCGATCACTCTGGATGGACAGTGGTCCCAGCAACCCGCGGCGTGGGCTCCCGCACCCAGTTTCGACGAGGGATACTCGCTCCAGCAGCCTTCGCCGTCGGGAGAGGGACTCCAGCACCCAATGATTCACTCACGAGGGGCAGTGGATCCGCCAGCCCACAGCGTAGGCTCACAAGAGGAGGAGGAGGAGAAGGAGGAGGAGGAGGTGGAGGAGGAGGAGGAGGAGGAGAGAGGAGGAGGAGGATAGGAGGGGAAGGGGGGAGGAGGAGGGTGGAGGGGGGGGGGGGAGGAGGGAAGGGGGAGTGGGAGGAGAAGGAGAGGAGAGGAGGAGGAGAGGAGGAGGAAGGAGGAAGAGAGGAGGAGGAGGAGGAGGAGAAGGGGGAGGAGGAGGAGGCTGTGGAGGAGGCTGTGGAGAATGGGCTGGGCCGCCTGTCCCCCGTCTGCGAGTCTCCAGGCGCAACAAGGCTTTGGCTGGATCGTCTCACGACTTCCGCCGCTCTGAAGGACGCTAAAGGTACGAGAGCTGTGACGACCTCACGACCGCGCACAGTGAAGTGCCGAGAAGAACTTTCAGAGCGCATCATCAACCCTCTCGACTATGTCACGCAGGACATGGCCTCTTTCGGGAAGATTCTCTTCAACGTGGTCAGTGCGCAGGAGAAGGGGCTGAAGGAGGCCTCGAAGAAGATCGCCATGGCCATGGGGCAATTCAACTCGCGGAGTGCGCTTCAAAAGGGGCCCTTCGAGATGCCGACGCAGAGGCTCTTGCGTGACACGCCTACTGCGACGGGTGGCGCGACCAGCTCCTCGTCGTCTTCGGCGAGGCCAAGGACAGGAGAGGATGAGGAGCCCTGGGACCCACAGCAGGAGCTCGTAGCGGAGCTGGCAGCGATGGCGACCCATGCCATTCGCAAGGCTTCAGGAACAGCGACGCAGAGCGACGCGAGCGGTGAGAGGGAGCTCGATGCCAACTAGTTGGACAGTGGAGTTGATTGCCGCGAAGGGTTGCTCATCAAAAAAACAGCAAGCATAACAATAGGCTGGTGTTGTCGCTCGTTCCGGTGGGAGATGCCTCGGGACGTCCGCTATGTGACTGGAGGGAAGGTGCTGAAATTCAAGTGGCCATGGATGTGAGGTGTGACGCAGCTGGGGCGACAGGTGTGCAGACCTGCTGTCGGCACGTCGTAAAGCTTCAAGGGCCTCGAGAGGTGCCCCCCGAGCCCTCTGTCCCTCGGGCCTCCCAGAGCCCGGGGGGGGCCCCACCGCTCCCCATACAGCTCGACACCAGCCCATTGCCACGCCCGACTCCTGCTCCGATTGCCCCCCCCCCCAAACCACCACCTCACGTATGAGTTTGGCTCGCGACGCCAGCGTCCTTCGTGTCAGATCTGGGATCGAACCCAAGCGACACGAGAACCTGAACTCGCCCAGCAACGATGAGGCTGTTCTTGTGTACCGTGGAGGTGCAGACGGGGGCACAGCGGACGAAGTGGGGTCCCCAGAGTAATTCCTTCAGCAAGCGGAGGACAACATCAAGGAGACGGGCAGCGCACTTGGAAAAGGTTGCTAGCATGGTGGACAACGGACTTGTGTACCTCAAGGAGCAGAAGTACAAATTGTCGATGAGCCTCGTCCGCACCCAGCTCATGGAGTGCAGAATCAAACGAGCAGGACTTCGCTAAAGCACAAGACTTTCAATACCTCGGAGATTTGATGGCGACTATTGGCGAGGCCGAGATGGGGCTTCTTCGGCTGGAAGGGGTCTTGACAAATCGCCCCATCTGGGTGGAGTCTCTGCCACCATCGCAAAAGAACTACGAGAACGCACAGGCCGACGAGCATTTCTCGAGCCCCTGCAAGGACGAGAAGCAATGCAAGATGATGTCGCTCGACCTCGGCAGCTCAGAGTCAGACCTCCAAGGGTTGAAGCGCCCTACTTTGCAACCGCCACTCCAATGGTGGGATGCCAACGACGAGCACACCTGGATTCCATCTGGGTGGATTCCACAGGACTCCAGAAAGTGGATGGACTATAGCAAGGACGGGGAGAACGACGACGGGAGCTCCAAGACGGCCAACAAGCAGAGCAGTGGAGATAGAGGCAGCGGATCGAACCTGGCGATCGATGTGCCGAAGGTCTCCTACAAGACGGAGGATGCCAAGGGCACGCAGAGGAGTGCGCCCGGAGTGCATCACGACCAGGCTGCTGAGCACCGACGCCGGGGACGGCACCCTGACGGACGACTTCTCAGCCACAGACTTGTGCTGTCGCACGGCGTGTGATTGAAAACAGACTCCGACCCATCAGGGGCTGCACGCCGATGTGACGACCAGGGCAGACCTGCCTACGGCAATGATAGGGGGGAGGTGTCCAGGGCCACTGCGCACGTCTGGACTTAGTGGACTATATTGTCAGGGGTAGACCATCATCACCACGACTCCCAGGACAAGAATCGAGGGCCCCAGGTGCTTTTCAGCACTAACTGTTTACTGAACAGGGGGCCCAGTTTCCTCTCTCTTCCCTTTCGAGGTGTCGTCGTCGGTTCCTCCTTGCTTGGGCCCCCCCCCCCAGCACCCGCCGTGGAGTTCTGGGGGGAGGCTCCTCTGTCTTGTTTCGCAAGGCTCCCTAGGTAGAGCTGCCTGCAATGGGGCCCCCCTCTCGGACTCCCCTGAGGGGCGCCCTCGGCCGGCCATAGCCGTTGGCAGGGCCCATTCCATATCCTCGCAGAGGCCAACTTGTCTTGCCCACAGCAGGGACTTGCCTCCGATGAGCTCATTATTGTCCTTATCCTCCTCCTCCTCCTCCTCCTCCTCCTCCTCCTCCTCCTCCTCCTCCTCCTCTTCACCTAACTGACCAATCGGGTGAATAGTGCTGGTGGTGGAAGTACTGAGCGCATGTCGACATATCAGAAGCGCGTGCGCACGCGCACGCACGCGCGCGCACTCCCTCCGGATGGAGCTCGGGCCCGGGCTCGGTCTCAAACTTGCGCTCGGGCTCGGGCTCGGGGTCGGGTTCAGCCTCGCGCTCGCGCCCGAGCAGTTGCGCGCGCGCACGCGAGCACACATGGGCACACGAACGAGCGCGCGCACGCGCGCACGTACGCGCACGAACGCGCACGCTCGCGAGCGCGCGCGCACGCTCACGCACGCGCGCACGCAAATGCGCGCGAGCGCACGCGCACGCAATCGCGCACACGTGCACGCATGCGCACACGCGCACGCGCGCGCAGGCGCGCGCACGCGAACTACCAACATTTGAGGGCGAGGCGTGGCTACAATCCCCCGACCTTTGGTTATACTTGAAAGCCATGAGCGAGGCGTTGCTCCAGCACACAATTCTTACGAGGGAGAAAAGTTCAGCAGATCATGCCGTAAAAAAGGGTGGGTTCCAGCACCTAATATTTACGAGGGACAGTGGTTCCAGCAACCCACGGCGTGGACTCCAGCAGCCAATTTTGACAAGGTAAAGTCGCTC